TGGTTAAATCAGTGAAACACAAAATAACAAGCATACCACACTGCATGGTTAAATCAGTGAAACATAAAATGAAAACCCCACAAACATAAACCAATCTACCATGTTAAAAACAAGACAACTTGTATAACTATGCTAACAGTATTGCAGTGTTTTTGTCTGTGTGAGCCATATGACATTATTCATTTTGAGTAGCACATACTCAGATCTATAACTAAATAACAATATATAAACAAACAAGAAAACATACTAAAACTAACAAAAGGACAGTTAACAGTTTTATTTCTAATTGAGTCAAACAATTTGTTCCTGATTGTAATATGTTGTGGGCATTTCATAACATTGTGGAATTTATCCTCAATTTAAGCTGTGTTGCGTCTTGTACAGATCTTGTGATCAAATTTAACCTTTGGCCTAATAAGCCTAGCTTTTTCAATCATTAAGAGATGGTCACTTATTGAAAGTTTGAAATTTATTTCACCAGTAACATAAGGAAATTAAATAAATACTAATGTACAGAAATGCATATATAAATAAAATGTTGCTTTGTAGGAATGCAACTGGTGAGGGACACGGAAATAGTTCGGTATTGAACTAGTCTAGTCCATGTCCCCACCCAGCGTTATACACAGAAAGTGTCTGCATGACTGAGAAATATAATGAAATATAATTAAATAAGTGAAATAATGTAAAGTAAAATAACTGTTGATGAAATATTTTATCAATTATTTGATGAATTAGTAAATAAATGAATGAATAGATAAATAAATAACTGGATAACTGAACAAATAAATAAATAAATGACTAAGTTGATGAATGAATGAATGAATGAATGAGTGAATGAATGTTACTCATTTAGTAGAAGGGATTTTAATGTACTTTTAAACATGTGTCTATGTGTAATATTTTTAATGTGATTGGGAAGTGCGTTCCAGTGCTTTGTAACTGCGTATTTGATATTATGTTTACTTTTAGTTAAATGCACTTGTGGAATGTCAACATTGTTTACAAAGGAGAGTCGGGTTGGGTAGTTGTGTGGAAGGGGATCTAAGTAGTGATTCACATCATGTGCGAAGCGATTTTTAAGAAGGTCAAAGGTGAACAGGCAAGTATTGGATTTAGAGAGTTTGTGAATGTCAAGAATACCAAGTCGTTTAAATAAAGGGGCAGTATGGGCGCGGTAGTTTGAAAAAGTTATAAGACGGACAATTTTCTTTTGAAGCAAAAGTAATGGCTGCAGGAAGGTAGTATAAGTGTTTCCCCAAATGTCAATACAATATGAAAGGTGTGGAAGAATTAAAGAGTTGTACAATAAAATAAGAGTTGATTTAGGTAAATAATGTCTGAGCCGAGGTATAATTCCCACCTTAGGGGCAATGGATTTTACAACTTTTCGAATGTGAGACTTCCAATTGAAATGCTGATCA